TTAGTGAGGACAACATAACACTAATACTTCTGAGAAATACGTTCCTACACATCTACCTGTTTTGTAAAAAGCATTAAAAATAAAACAGATCAGAAAATCATTTGACTTCTTCAGAACAAGCTTTCCAAAAAGTTAAGTTAAAGGGCATATTACTGTCTTGACAGTTACAAGCCAATGCACTTCACATCAGAAGCCAGCCTTTACATAATGATGGGTAACAATATGYTTAATATAAATCTAGCTGCTTCACAATTATTTGAGAGGTAGGAACTAATATAAATCAGGAAAAACTCACCAGGTGATCAATTCTGCTTTTCCCTATCTTAAAAATCTTCAAAAAACTAAGGACCACCCTGGGACTGGCTTGATTCTTTTGTCACCTTTATCCATATAACTTTCCTTTACAACTTTATTGCCTTACTGCTTTAAGCATTCAGATTCCCAGACRAAATACACTCCGAGCTAATTTACCTGAAGAATCCCCAAAGAGCACATAGAAAATAGAGTCTTTTCCCTTATCTTTTCTTAGAAAATGCAAGTCTACTTACCAGTCAAAATTTCCTCTAACACCTCTCTTGGCACCATAGATCAGCCCTTTGTCCTTTCCCTTACCTTGCAACTCTTACTATAATGTTAATGCAGCTTCTGTCTGTGATTGTCTGTGCTTGTTCTCACCTGGCCTAAACTGAATGCTTGTCCCTCTCGGGCTTCTCAAGCTGATGAAAGCTTTGACACCAGAAAAAAGCAATTTTTCAAACAGGAACAAGGACTTGGCAAAAGAATATAGAAGACCCCTTTATAATCTTCTAAGCAACATTAAGATGGATGTGAGGAGAGAGATACCATATAGAAAAAGGTATTTCAGATGCCAGCAAACATCTCTTCCCATTCCCTTCACCAGTACATGAGCTGCTCTGGAGGAGAAAATAGCAGCAAGGAACATAAGGGAGCTCAGACTACTTGAGATATYTGAAAAGCAGAAATATGCATGTGAACAAAGGATTAAAATAAGGTTATACCTTTGGATATTAACTATTATATTTTACTATTATACTATACTATAATATATATATTAATAATATATAATACTATAATTATACTATTATATTTTCTTTAGTGATTTTTAAACAAATCATCCTCAATCCCCCTCAATCTTGGGTTTAACCAAAGAGTTATCAKATTTCAAGTAAACCTTTCTCACTTCCTCATACTTTCATGTTATTTCACTTATATATGTGCTAGTTGCCAGGWCCAGGACTACATGCTAGCTTAGAATTGAGTGAAAATGCAATCAAAAGATGCTTTATAATTTTCCTTTTGTTTATTTAATGTTTTCTGTGYTGGCTACTATCTCTAGCAGTGGTGTATTGACACTGACGATATTCTTGCATCTGTTGCCAATGCTGCCTTTGCTTCTGACTCTCTTCCTTTTTTTTTTCTTTTACTTACAGGGAATGTCTTTCTAAACAGCTGGTGTTGGCAGCAGCTCGTTTAGACTCATATTCTCTTAAAAAAATGCATTTTGTGTTAGATTATACAATGAGGTGTATCATCCTCCTGACTCTGTTCCCTAATAAATTCTCTAATTTACATGCTTTTAAACCTACTTAAGCCAATTTTTCTACTTCGCATAACTCACTGAACTCGAGAAGTTCTGCTAGTGTTATATTACCAAGCAACAGCAGAATGCAAGASTAGATTTTTGATTTCTTGTGAAACCAAATTTCAATGGTCACAATGACCACTGTATTTTATTTTGTGTCGGGTTCTCTTTGTTTGCAATAACGCAGATAAACTTTCAGACATATAAGCCCTGAAGCTTTACCTTATTTAGACAACGTCCACAATAGCATAACTGCTGAATATAACAACCATATATATCTGAAAGGGACTCCAGGTCCTCACTTTCCCATTTAAGTTGATGAGAGTACCCTGTAAGTAAGATTCAGCCTACAACAACAAAAGTCATTGACAGTCTCAATTCTGTGTTAAAAGCAGTACAACTGTGAATATATCTCTAATCAGTGGTTCTCTTTCCCCATTAAGCATAAAGAACTCGCTGTATGCACAAAGAATGGAAGTGCCCACAAGGAAAGCTGGGAATGAAACAACRTAAGCACTAGAGCTTTATTCCTAAATCTCTCCATGAGACTGGCATTCTCTTGGAATTCTTCTGTTGTGTTCCAATAGATCTCGTTATCCTTTTCAGGTATAATCACGTGTTTTACAAAGCATGGCATTCTTAGTATTTTACAACAGAGAACTTGACAAGCAAAGGGACTTGTTGCATTTCAGCTGGTTGATGATTTCAAAATTTCAGCCTTCAGGACTAAAACTGCACATTTTTCTGGATGAAAACTGGATAGACTAGTTTGTTTAAATGAGGAAAGCTGTTCCATTCTTGTAGTAACAATAATGACTCTCGGAATTGCTGTCGTGCATAAGTGATGCAAATTAGGTTTATTTTTGCAACACTCCATGTTATTATCTAATGAAATTATATTGGTAACTTTTAATCTGCTCAAAAAAGTGATAACACACAGATGTACAAACCCACATTCATGTGTTGTTTTATTGGTATGTTACAATATTACATTTCCTTCACACGGAGAGAGCATGAGATTAAAATACACTGATCCACAAAAATGCCTTCCCTGCACTGACTTTGCACTGGTAATTACAGTGCCTGCAGATCCCACTATAAGTTTCACGTCATTATGTCTTTCACAGATTTAATTACATTTTAATCAAAGCTTTTACATGGTCTATTTTATGACTTTCAATTTAATTATTCTCATTAGAACACATTATTCTTTACTTTTTTTGCAAAGTTCAATTCATCTTGCAGTATAGCCATTTATGCTGCATCACATTTCACACTCCAATCTTTTAACAGCCAATACTCATTTAAGGGCTGCATAASCACACTCCATCCCAATGAAGATAGCTTATTTGTATCAAAAGCCATTAAAATACAGGAAATGTATACWGCAGAGTTAGGAGGCTCCTCTCATTTTTGAGAATAATTCAGATCTATATAAAAACATGCAAAATGCACTACGCATCAGTAATAAACTTCTAATTTTGCTTTAAGATTTTCTGACATTTGCATATAACCTGGAAGACTAGGGTTCCTGCTGAAATTAAAAGCTAATGGAAAAGCCTGTAAAGATATGATACCCTTACTCTGGGGCTTTTTTCTAAGTCTCCCCTATGAAGCAGTAGAAAATGATATACCTGTTACAGAATTCTGTAGGATGGCTTAAAAATTTTATAGAAAGTTTAAACCGCCACTAAAGTGGATTTCTAGAATCCAATTTCAATTACACTAGAGAAATATTCTGTCAAATCCAGTGCAAATGCAATTTCCACATAACTTTGCTTATGCTAGTTTCATAAACTGGCCTGTGTGCATCAGCAAAACATAGTTATGTTTGGACAACCAACTGTGTTATAGAACTCAGAATACTTTAACTATGTCAGTAAAAATCCTAACTCTAACATAGTCATACTGATATTAATTTTAGAAGTAGATTAGGTCTAATTTCTATTGAACCCTGCTGGTTCATGCTTTCTACAATTTGTTCCTTAATGCCATTTCTTTTTTTATAGTTATTTCCAAATATTATATGTGTTTACTAATAATATGGCTGCACTCTCTTATACACAAATATTTCGGTTGATTTTTAAAGGGACTCTAATTTACTTGATATAAAAATTCAAGTGTTGCAAATGAGGAAACAGCTCAAGAAAAATCTAGACTGCTTACCTTTGACAGAAGTAAATGACAAGCATTACATAAAGACACAGAGCTGTTTGAATCACAAAATGCCTACAAGGCCAAGATACATTCCAACAGGAACACATAAATTATAACTATGGCAGCAGTCTCCTCCAGTCTAAAGCACCATAATAATGGTTGTTGATCAACACTGATTATTTTTAAGCAGCGGCTCTACCCCAAATCTACTCCCCTGTCAAGATGTGGTCTAGACCACATCCCTGAACTTTCATAAGTTACCCAAGAAAACAAATTATGGAATCTGACATTCCACCATCCAAAAGTACATTGTTTTACAGGAATGTGATTTATACTGCATAGTGCATATACAATGGGATTCTAACAATAATAAATTAACTGAAGTAGATTACTCGTACACTTAGTAATCTTCTCCATACCTAGAGGGTTTCAACTTAGGCAAGTTTTGACACAGGTTCCAAGCTAACCTTTGCAAAAACCATGCTCAAGAAGATGATGAGTTGAAACTGTGGGATGGGTCTAATGCAGCACTGTTTCCAGCCTTTCTCTGGAAATGTTACAGTGCTGTAAAATACCATAAGCATTCGCGGTGGTGCACTCAAAGTCACAAATGAAAAGCTYTGCATTTTGTAAGACCACCAATGCAGCAGTGAGTCACTACACAAGAATGAGCATGGCACACAGATTCACAGAAAACACTGTGTTTCTCCATCTTCACGTTTTTAGGATTTCTACATTTTAGGAATTTTAAAAATTGTTGTAAAGACTTGAGTTTGTTGAATGTCATGGGAGCTTACTTTCATTTGCTTTTGTCTAGAATTACAGCAAGAGCTCTCAAAAATGCTAACAGCCTAATACCAAGTTTCTAACTCATCCTGGAAATATACATTATTTCAAACTGATAATTTTAACAGTTTGGAATTTCTTGAATGTCAGCATCATCCTGTGGAACTACTAATGTGGCTAGGCTTGGCCATACAAACTCTTAACCCCTGATACCTTCCAGCTGCTTAATTGTTAGTAGCTCAGAATGATCCTGCCAAAACTTGATGATTAACACAAAATTCTCAGAGCATGTGCAGATTTATTATGTTAGAAGATAAACATAAGGATTCTGCCCTTACTTATCAAATTACACAAAGTGGTTAGCTGCAACAGATGCTGAACATCTGATGAAAAGTGCTGTGTGTACTCACCATGCATCAAAAGCAATGAGTGCTGAAGACAACCAGAACTTTCCAGCAGATACTCAGTACCTCAGAAAACCTGTTTCCAGATCTACTATATCTTCAAGCCATATCCTCCTAAAAATTCTGTTAATCAATCTCCAAGTGGAATTTTTCATTAACAATCATTCCCCTCCCCCAGATAAGCCATCTTTTGCAGTAGACTGAAAACAGACAATTCAGCAAGTCAATATGAATTGGATATTTACCTTTAAAAGTATGAGGATATTAGAGCATTAAAAATAAAATATTTCTTTTCTTTTTTATAAAAAGGAACGAAAGAAAAGAAAAAACACAGACCAAATGTATAGTAGGAAATACCATGTTAAGAGACTGGTTTGGAGGAAATGCGAGAAGGCTAAAAGTTCATTCYGCACATTTCTCAAAGTCATACTGGTCCTTCAGTTATTCCCTCTAGAGGAAGACCAGTAGCATTATCTGTTGTAGGTCTCTCTTCTTTCTTCATTGAATTCTGATCTAGCAGGCTGACATAAGATTTATGACAAGCTGTATTACCCAAAGGAGGGTAGTGTTGTCTGTAGCAAATATAAGCGAAAATGAGGCCAATGATCCCTCCAGCAAAAGCATCTAGGTAAGAAAAGCAACAAAATCAGATGCATGTTACCATAAACAGGACAGCCAGTAATGAAAACTATAAATAAAAGACATATGATTGACATGGAGGTGTTCGATTCAGAAAACGTGAAATACAAAGTTTCATAAGCAACTTGGAGGCAAACATTACAATCACTCAGGATATGTCAAATCAGCATTTGACTTTGGGTCATCTCCAACATTTCGAATACCAAAAGGTACGTTTCAGAAGAAAATGACCCAGGGAAACACAGAGGCCTATCAAACATTCATCACACCACCCACCTCTTGCTCTCTAGTTGGCCRTGATTTCCAATAGCTACCACCAGACCTTCTGTTTATGAACAATATCACTGAACCGGTGCTGCTGAAGGAGCCCAGCACTCCGCAGGTAACCACCAACTGACTGCAGCTTGTACCTGTCTGAGAACCCCTCCAGAACGATGGTAGCTACTGTGTGGTCATTTATGCACACTACTGTTGACAGCTCTGTACTCGGGACAGCATTCTCCAATGAAAATGCACACTTTCTATTCTATACTTTAGATTAGACAAGATAAGGAATCAGAATAGAACAGGAAGAGATGCAATTGTATGAGATAAGCTAAGCTTTCCTGGGTGCAAAACATCAATATTAAAAAGACATCACAGAATCRCAGGATGGTTGAGTTTGGAAGGGACCTCTAGAGACCATCAGGTCCAACCTTGCTGCTCAAGCAGGGACACCAAGARCACATGGCACAGGGTGGAATCCAGGTGGGTTTGGGAGAGCTCCAGAGGAGGAGACTGCTAGTGTCTATGTTACATCTCTTGCATTTTTTCACACAAGGAACATATCCTCATCTGCATCTACAAAGCTGAAAGCTATATCAGAAACTCAGTAATGAAGAATGTAGTACTTGGCAGTGCAATATTACTGGGTATTCTCTAAAAACTGAACACAGTTGTTAAAATTGCAGAGGGGGACATTCTGAACAGCCTTTTAACAGATAAATCTACTTTTAAGAGATATACCTATGGGAACAAAACCTGAGAAGTTTAAGACTGAGATAAATATCTTTAAAAAATGTGATTATATTGTCACAGTTGTCTCTCAGTGGGCTAGGAATGACCTCTTCCAATCCTACTCTCTCTGCATATATGCACAAAGGACATAATGAAGCTACATAAATACTATTGATTATAAATTATAATGTATATAAATCTTCATTCAGTTCTCCTTGAAGTTAGTGAGAGCTAGACATGCACATTAGATCACTGGAAATAATTTCCATTAACAGAGACACTGGGCAGAGGTGCCCTATGTTCTAGCCTGAACCTTTAGGCCAGAACCCTTGGAAATGTGCCTTGATAAAAAGGCAATTGTCCTTCCAAGAGAAATGCATCGKGCCCTGAATCAAAACATATTGAATTAGTAAGAAGCATTTATTAAAATGTCTTTCAATTCATGTAAACAAAAACACTTCCTCTTCTTAACTAGAGCAAATTAGATTTATTCTAGGTCAAAGATGTTGCAACCCTTTGTCATTTTCCTTCCACAGCTGAGGACAGAGATTACACCATCAATCCCTACACCATTCCCCGTCCCTAAAAAGTCTCAGGCAGTGATGCAAGCTGCACTTCAACTATCTAGAGCAACATGAATTTGAAGAACTATCACTTTGCCACCAAATAGTTTGGTACATTGAGTAGCTCTATTGACTTCACCAGAGCTACTCTAATATCCACTGAAGATCTACCCAGCTGGAAGATTATAGTTTATTCTCCCCCTTTTATGTGTAAGTGTTTGTGCACACAGCAGATATCCAGGAAACCACAATTGCTCCCATAGTTTCACAGTTGGTGGCAGCCACATGCACACTGTAAAATTAAAGATACAGCTGTGAAGGCATGAGCAAGTTTAATCCCTTGGGGATCTCATGATCATTTCTATAYAGGTAGGATATAATAAATAAATCAAAGCCTCCTTTTAGTGTAATTAGGTTAGTAGCACCTTAGTGGCAGTAAAATGMAAGAAGCATAAAGAAGTACCAGCGCACAAATTTATAGAGAACATAACCAATAAGAAGGAATACACAWAACTTGATGAGATGATATCAAGGTATCATACAAAGTTACGGAGAGAATGGTGCTTAATTGCTCTGGTCCCTTTGGGAAGGATATGCAAAATGTGAACTTATCTGTCAGTAAAGACAATTTAGGTTAAATATGAATAAATAATTTCTAATTGTGAATGTAGTTAAATTCTGGGCTAGATTATGTTGGAATCTACTTCACTTTTTTATGTTTTTTTTTCTTTTTGAAATCCCTGCAAAATTTCCACTTAGTTACTCAGAAAAACAATATTTCCAAAAGTAGAAACCCACATGGAGGACTAGAAATTTAAAGAGAGTCATGTTTTCAGGACACAAAATGCACTAAAAATTCACTAATATCAACACTAAGACTTTGGATGCTACATTTTCCAGCCATACCAAAGGGAGCTCATAAAGACCTCATAGTACTGATGTCCTGAGCCCAATCTATGGCTCTTTGATGCAAAGTTACTCCATTTCATCTCCCACCTACAGCACACCGAGTCCTGTACATTATACTTATGGTCCTTGTTCATTCCCAACAGCACAGTTAAGCCTATCACAAAGCCACTATAAGTAATTTAAAACAATTGGCAGAGTCTGTTGAGCATTAAAGACATGGCCTGAGCATCTGTGCTGTATTTTACAGGGTGAACTAGTCTTTCCCTTGAGAAAGTAGGTCTTTCGGGCTAGAGCTAAGGTCACCTGCAAGGCAATGTCTGCCAGCATTGTACTTATCTGCGGAAGATGCATCTGTATTTTCAGCTCCATCTACTTAAACTTTAAAGACAAAAATACGAGCAGCTGTAATAGATGCAACCACAATCCCTTGGGTGTAGTTTGCTTCTAGCATATATAAAATACATCATATTATCTGCCTCATAGCACGTGTTTTACTCCATAAATAATTCATATTCTTACCAAGACATATAACACACTGCAAACATGCATTCACTTTCCCATTCACTCATTCTTCTCTGTTGCATAACCACAGACCTCAGACAGGCCTAGGCTTATATATTGTGTGCAAGACTCATAACCTGTCTTCTGCCCTGCCTACCAGCTTGACAAGGCAAGCATCTCATGTTCACCAGCCTTGTGCTGGATGCTCTCTCCAACACAGCATGTCTGGGAGCAGGAGGAGCCCTGTAACAAAAACAGGATGCTGTCTGAGCACAAAAGAAAAGCCTAAAAAAACAAACAAAAAAAAAAAGAGCATGTAACAGGCTGAGGCTTGCTCTGGTATATAGACAGGTTGTGTACAAGAAAAGAAAGTGCTCAGCAAGAGAGAGATACAGCGTACATAGTTGAAACTAGGTGCAGTAACCAAGCCTAGCGTGGAATRATAGTTCTTGGAAAATACATCAAGTAAGCAATATTTAACCAATATGAAGCAGATACTGAGATATGCTTATTAGTAATACCATATAAAGTCAAGATGACTTAGGTAATAGAACCAGAAGAGAACTCTTCTCTAGAAGACTGAGAAGAGATCTGATCAATATGTATAAGTAGCTGGCAGGAGAGAATGTAGGGAGGATGGGGTCAAACTCTTCTCAGTGCTGGCCAGTGATAAGACAAGGGGTAATGGGTATAAGTGGAAAAACAGCAAGTTCCATCTCCATGTGAGGAAGAACCTCTTTGCTGTGAGGGTGACAGAGCCCTGGCACAGACTGCTCAGGGAGGTTGTGGAGTCTTCTTCTCTGGAGGTCTTCCAAACCTGCCTGGATGCCACCCTGTGCTCCGTGCTCTGGGTGTCCCTGCTGGAGCAGAGGTTTGGACTGGATGATCTATAGAAGTTCCTTCCAACCTCAACTGTTCTGTGATTCTGTGATATGCTGTTCTCACACTTCTATGGACCCAGCAGCAAGAAAAATCTGCTCTAACAYGACAATGTTTTAAGCCATATGAATTCAATGGAAAAAAAAATAACCAAAAAAAATAGAAGGCTAATTAAAAAAAAGGAAAAAAAAAACAGTAAAAAAAAGTAGTTCCATGGCTCACCTTGCCAGTGATGCTTGTAATCACACATTCTTGACAGGGCGATCATCATGGCACAGTAGAGAGGCAGAATTGCAGCACAGAGCCGCCAGCTCTTCCCCCGGCCGTTCTCCGTGAAGCAGTGCAGCTTGCCAGCTAAGTAGAAGGTGGTAAAGCCAAGGCCTGAAAATGCAACTGATAGAGAAAAACACAGAATTAAAAACGCAGAATTACTGTGTATTGTCTCACTGTCCCATTTGATACTATCCACTGTGACAGACTGTGTTTATGGTAGAGATTAGATGCAGATTCTTAGGACTCAGCATAGGCTGATGGACTTAAGCAGCGCAACAAAACAACATGTCTTCCACCTTCTAGGGCAGATTTTCTCYTGTGCTTTTTCTGTTTGTTACATGACCCTCAAATATTGATGAGTTTTACTTCCACATTTCCATCTTCCATCCAACACRTTTTCTTTTTAAAAAAAATCTTTATGAAAAGATTTTTATACTGAAACCTGACCACAGTATTTCTAGACAGAAGCACAAAGTGCTTTTTGGCTTCATTCTCACAGGTCCTACAGTATCTAGCCTAGAGGGTTTAAAGTAGCATTTAAATTTGATACTGATTCTCCTAAATAAACCATCTGAAATATTTAATGTAACCTTCCTATGTAAACGTGCTTTCATATTGTGGATAAATATTGCCCAGTCTGTAACATAGGCCTTCAGTTCACACATACTCTTATTTAGAATCACTAGCAATTCCAATGCAAAACACTCTACCAACCAGAAAGAAAACAAAACACAACAACAAACAAAAAAGAAAAAGAGAAAATAAAACGTGCATATTATTCTGAATAGCAACAAGTTTTATCAGAGCAAAAACATGCAAGAGAGAATTCTGAGCTTCTTACAAGATGAGGTGCTAAAAAGCAGAACAGGAACCAAAATACATTCCTATGTTAATGTTCCTAACTTTATATTTTATTAATGCTGTGGGAATATCAAATACCTCTGATATGCAGGAAAAAACAGATTTTACCATGAATACATCAGTATTTACATGGCATAGGAAATGCAGGAAAATCTTTTCTTCATGCCTATACATGCACCTATGCAAGTGCTTGTTCCTTAGATTCTTTAATCTAAACCTTCAAAACTGAGCTTTAATATTCACAATTCAAGCACAGCAAAGCTGAACCACAAAATGAGGAGAATATGTTTAACACAGCAATGGAACAAAAATATGCTGCAAGAAACTGTAATGATGCAGTTAGGCTCTTAATTAACAGAAGTGTTTGTTTTTTTGTTAAGATAACATTATCACTTGTTTTTGAGGTAGGATTTTGGGCTGAGATCTTCCATGACATTTATCACAAACAAAAGATTTTATCACTACTGGAGCACTCTCAGACAACTGACTAGAAAGATCAGCAGTTAAACAATTTGCTTAGATGCAGCTCTCTTAATAAGGTAAAATCTCTTCTTGGTAAGCAGCTTTCTAAACTTTTAAAACAAAACATCCCTTCATGTTGAACTGAAAGGACTTACTCTGGATTTCAGCAGGCAAAGTTTGCAACTCATGGGAAACATTTGCTGTATATTCAAACTTTTTCAAACAGGAAGCTTTTTTTTCCTGTCCATGCTAATCTACATTATAAACAGACTATCACAATGGGTACTAAGGATATCTAAGAGGTAAAACAGCATAGAGGGATACTCTTAGCTTGGTGAGTACGTGTATCTTACCTTGGTAGCTATGTAAATTTTTAGACTCATAGTTTCTAGCCTTGTTGATAACTGTCTATAGAGGTTATTAAAAATGTCATGTTTCCTTGTAAATATCTTCTTTGTAGAGTTTTTTATAAGACTTACATGCATGCTATTTAAATGGTGAAACAGAGAAGTAACTGGATGGATTCCATAGACTAACAGTTATAAATTACTGTGTGGCATGCTAAAAGCAAAATGGACATAACAGTACAGAGAAAGCCAATGTACATCACAAGAAAAASTTCAAGACATATTTGATTTCAAAGAACATGAGCAAATCAACATTTCAATTCAGGAATTTTGCCTTCTATCTTCACTTCTGTTTCATCCCATCAAGGCWACTGTATAAACCCCAGTACCAGCTCCAATATTGTCCTCGAGGCAGGTGGCAGAAGCCTGCAGATAAAGCACCACTACTTTAACTGTACAGTAGACAACAGCAGCAGCAGATATAGCTACACAAGCCTTGCAGCAAACCTTAAGTTATTAAAAGRAAGAATTATTTCTCCATAATTTACATTTTTTTCCATAATCTACCATTTTTCCAGGGGAAGGTGCTCATGAAATTCAAATAGAGAGCTCAGCAGGACCTATATTTGCAGGAAGACAACTTTTGCCTTAGATAGTTGGTGCATACCTGGAAACTGAAGTTCAGGAAAAAAAGACTGACTCATAAGCACTATTCCAAGGGGATTTATCCCTGATGCARGTTGGAAAAGTAATATAATGCTGCTCTAGCTTTTGGCTATGAAACTAATATTCTGCAGAGTGGCTTTACATTGCAATATTGCAAGATTGATTTTCCTCAGCATGGATCAAGCCCATCCAAAGCAGASCTCTTCGCCCCACGCTTACAGTGTGTGCACAACCAGCAGCCGAGAAAAACATGGAATTAACAGCTGAGAGCTCTGGGATGCAGCAGTGCACTTCACAAACATAACTATATACTCTGAAACAACTCAACTGCCCTGTAATCCGTGTAGGCTCCTACTTGGCTTGACAGCTATACTTCAAAGACGTGGTCATTCTATAACATAAAGAAAATCAATTTACTCCCAAAAATCTGGGCCTATAGGTAAGACTTACATTCCAGACTTAGTGAATCCATTTATCGCAGTACTATATTGCAATATATTTGAACAAATTTTAACAGAAATTAATAATCTGATTGTATAAGGAAGGCAAGGAGCAACATGATATGCCGACCAACTCTTTTAGGAAATACTGGCACAAACAAATGAGAAAATTTAGTCTGCTTTAGTTTAAAACAGTGCTAACTAAAGACAGATGCCCATGCAAATTCCAGACAGACATATTTGATTTTAAATGTTGGAAGAAGAAAAAGGAATGATTCTAACACACACTGTAAAGAAACTGGGCTTTTTGTTTTTTCAGTTGGTGAGCACATGAAAATCCTCCTCTGACAAGCCATATGTTCTGTAAGGACTTGATAATGTACCTATTGAAATACAGAATATGGAATCACTGAATTGTCCTCTTTAAATAGAGTCTGTACTTGTTCTTAAGAAATTAAAGGAATAGAAAGGAATTTTGGAATGAAAAGGGTAAGTTTGAGTCTTATGGTAACAGTTGTTTTGAGAGGAAAATCATCTCCATCTAGGAAATGAAAGACTTAAAATTTGAGGAAAACAGATTAAGCAAATTTGTTTTATTCCCTTATTCTTTATATCCATTTCCTGTCTCTGTTGGCAGCAAAAACGCTTTGGGGCAATGGGACTATTTTAGTACCAGCAAAGATACTGCATTTGCAAATCTTGCATCTTTCTCTAGATTTTGAAGGAATTCCTGATTCTGAGATTTGTAGTGTATATAGTGGATATTTCCAGGTTTCTTAAAAGGAACAACAAAATCTAAAACTGATTCTGCTGTAGTTATATAGCTTTATTTCAAACTATTATCACCAAAGAATCTTTAAAGAAAAATATGCACTCTCCAAATAATGTTTTTGGTAACTATATAGTCAGCTGTGAATAGACATGAGTGTGTGATAAGTATGAATCCCCTTTTTTATATCTATTTTTACTCCTATTCCATATCTTTCCTTTACTTTTGTTGACATAGATCTACTGGTTATACAGACCTTGAAGTCAAAGGTATCCAATTTATTTTGTTTTGAATATGGCTAGAAACTGTTCAAAGACCATCCTGCAGGTTCTGGTCTATTCAGCTCAGTAGGTGCTAGATGGGAAACTCCTTATATCAAGTGAATTCCCTATCCCCATTTGCAGGAGGAGACTGAAATCCCAGTTGCACATGGGATCATGTTAAAGTCACTACTGTGAGGTGTCCCAGTTCAAAGTGCATACTGGGATGTCCCTGCATGTAAGGCTGCTTATTTTGTCTGCCTGATACGGACTGTCCAAAAGCTCAGAGTTGGCAGCCAGAAGGGACAAGCAGATCTTCTGCTCTGACCTCCACTGCACCACACCATTCAATTCAAACTCACATTCTGGTACTAATAAAGCACATTTTTCAGAGGAATAATATGAAGATACTTGGAGGAAGAGTCACTAGCTATGAATCCCAGATGTGGTTCTAAAAAATCTCTAAATGAGACTTTTGTGTCAATTGATATCATTAAGTAGAAGAAAAACAGAGGAGTAGTTAAAAAAACAGTGAAAATGTTAGGAGGCCCTTTGAAATTTCCATAGGTAAGCTGCAAAGATCTACACACAGGAGGAACTGAAAGCCAATAGRCAAGTACCTTTGTTTAACGTTAGAGCAATGCCATAAGGCAAAGCCCTTCTGAGAAAAAGAAAATTTGCATGCCTTTTGCCCACAGAGCTCACATTCAAAGCCCTCATCCTTCAGCTGGATCAAAGCATGCAGAAGCTTGCCACCATGGAGCACTCCTGTGGGCAATGTGTAAGGGTACCAGGTCCACTCCTAGCAGAGTGARAGACAAAATCTCAAGCTTCTCCTGAACTCAAATAGTCCTTGCTACTGAGTATTGAAGTAAACATGTCAAAAAAGTGGCAGAGTACAACAGAAACACAAATATTCCTGTATATCCTTGCTGTTTGATTTGAAAAACACACAAAAAAATATGAGAAACTATTTTCCTGTATATCTAAGAAATCTATTCCTTATTTCCCTGGGTTCTTCCTTAAGAGGATGAAATATTTCAGAGACATTCCAATACAGCTGTTAATTACAAGATTTATCTTGAAAATAGAAAAGTAGCAGCAATTATAGCCAAAAACCTGTAGCTTGTAGCTCATCTGTTACTTAAAATATTGAAGGAAATATGATTATCCTCCATGAAATTACTAGCTAAAGATAATTAACAGCTCAAATTTAGATAGCCAACTATAATTGCATGCACTGCAGCAATATTTGTTTCAAGATAGCAAACAATTCTATTGAAATACAACTATTTCTCCACCCTGAAACACACAG